TGCTACTACTCTTAACTGATTTTTACTACTACTACTACTCACTACTCTATACTACTACTTAACTACTACTTGTTGCTGGTCCTGTACTCCTACTACTTACTACTCTATACTACTTACTACTTACTACAACTTACTACTCCTACTACTTACTACTGCTGGCTGCTGGCAGCTGGCTGCTGGCTGCTGCTTACTACTACAACTCCTCCTACTATGCTGCTCGACTCTGCTCTACACTTGTGTTGCTAGAGCACAAGCTGCTTGTTTTCAAACTTTGTGGCATTTGCAATGATGAAATTTTTTTAAATGTGCTGAGGCAGTGGCATTTGCAATGATGAAATTTTGTAAATATGCTGAGGCAGCGGCTATGATGATGAAATGTCCCCATACTTGTGAGCCGCTAAACTAGGATGGCTTATATACCATATACAAGGAACCAATTTAGAAGCGATGTGATGACAATGGGGCAAATCTGAGCCAAATATGTAAATGATTTTATTGATTCTACAATTTTGTACTTTTCTCAGACTCTTTTGTATTTTTCTTATAATCTTGTATACCTACTCCCAATGTAAATGAAAAAAGAATGTAATCTTGTTTTCAGATGAATATAATTCCATATTCCTTGCCCATATATTTTGAGATGAATGTAGATAACATTGTTTTTATATAATTATGAAATGTCCATATAACTCTCTCAACTTCATAGCTTCCAATGGTGGCCGAGCCTACTAAAGTATGGCGCGAGCCTACTCTGGTATCGAGTGATGATGAAGGCTCGTCCTCAGACGAGAGCACCTCGTATGAGGAGGAGGTGCTAACAACGAGGCCAGAGAAGAAACATCGACGGAGGAAGAAGATGATCTGACCTATAGTCCAACGGGGCCTTCAACACGAGCATCTCGAACCCCAGGACAAGATGATGAGGGCCGCGTAAGTATATAACTAACACAATGTCAACGGGCCTCGCGTAAGTACAAAACTAATGCGAGTTCTTGTCCTCGACAGATACCGGTGGTGCCTATGTGTTTGGAGTACCTCGAGGAGGGAGAAGAGGAGGGGCATCCATCCGGTCCCACCCCGAGCACTTCAACCGCAATGGCCAGTGGCAAGAGTGGCAAGAAGTCAGACTTGAAGACGGGCCCACATGGGAGGCACAAGGTGCACAAGAAGGTGCATGCCATATACAAGATAGGGCCACATGGAGAGCCCTTGGAGCCACAAACTGTCATCGGCACATTCAGCGATCAGTGCTCTGTATAGTCAGGGAGCACATGCCTATCACATATCTGAATTGCAGGAAAGTCCCGAAAGACCTCAAGGATGCCGTGTGGGGAGACATGAAGAGGCGGTTCCAACATCCACTAGACCAATATGATGAAGAACTATGCAAGGGGCATGCTATGTATATTGCAGGCAAAGCACTTCGCAACTTGTGGTCAAAACTCAAAAAGGGCTATGTGATGAAAGGGAAGACACCCTTCGAAGACTACAGTTTCATCAAGCGTCATGTCTAGGAAGAGTTTGTCGAACAAATGAGTAGCGAAGAAGTAAAGGCCAAGAGCGAGAAGTTCTCCGAGCTCACAAAGAGGAACACGCTCCACCACCACCTGGGCATGACAGGGTACGCCGCTAAGAGGCCAATGTGGCGGCAAGAAGAAAGGGAGGCAGCTGCGGTCGGGCAGGAGAATCTGCTTGAAGGCATTGATGAGACGTCACATGACTTCTTCTACGCCCGTCGGCCGAAGAAGCTAAAGGAGGGCAGGACCAAGTACAATGAGCCGCAGACCGAGGAGGCGGAGAAGGCTTTGCTCGCGATCAATGCGGACAAGGAACGCAGGGTGTTCGAACCTCGCAGGGATCATGACGTGCTGACCGAGGCGTTGGGAAACCTCAAGCACCAGGGCCGTGTCCGGGGCGTATACTTGAGGCAAAGTTGGAAAAACATGGAGTCCTAGCAATCCGATGCGAGATCACACCACACGAGGCAGGCCTACAAGGAAGGGCTCATCCAGCAAGGCGTGTAGCAAGGCCGTGAGGTAGCAATGAAGGGCATGATCAACAAGTCAATACAAGAGGCTTTCACCAGCACCGACCCCAAGATGGTGGAGTTGCGGTCGCAGATGCTTCTCCAGGCTGGTGTGTAGCTACCACAGAGTCAGCCTATAGTACCAGGCTCGTCGTCGATCGGAGGACTCCGCAGGTACCCGGTCGACGACATCGTGGAATCGAGGACTTGCACGCTCCTGATTCCCGTCGACCGCAAGATGACGAGGAAGAAGGAAATAGCCACGGGAGTTGCACTCCCCCCGAAAACGGCGCCATGTACAACAACAGGCCTATCCCGCCCGACTATGCCAGGGTGACCGTGACTTGGACCCATGACGATTATGAAGAAGAAGAAATCGGCTTTCCCACTGAAGAGGGGGACAGGTGCATCCGAGGTATTCTCGACACTTGTGTCCTATGAAGTAAGGAAGACATCATCTTGGACATGCTGACGCCTCGGTCACAGCCCTTAGAGCCCCCGACGTCTCCCTCGGGTGGCGACGACGACGATGGCGACGACAGTGATGGCAACGACAATGCTGGCGGCCCAAGAAGCAGTCCTTAACGTAGCCCAACTCCTGACACGAGCAAACCACAACGAGGCAACGAAATAGTGACTGCAAGTGGTCTAAAAGAGGGCAAAGGGCAATGTCCACCTATGCCGAAGAAGCCTACAGAAGAAGAGGGGGACAAACCCACCCACCTCACCACGGAGCAATGGGCGGCGTTCAACATAGCAAAATAGTTCAAGTACTCAACGGCGTTCGAAAGGTATATATGCTAATGGCAACCAAACATAGTCAACAGATTATGTGTGCGTAGATGATCCTAACAGACTTTTACACTCCTCCTTGTATCAATTACAGGGAGTGAACCCCGTCGTCAGTTTGGCCCCTTACTTCAGATTGCCCCGATAACTTCGAGAATGTCAAGTTCATGTTGCCCTTGGGCACGCTCCTGGAGGAGCTGTGGGAGGTTCAGAGGTTCCATCTCTGGTATATGCATGCTACGAAATTAGGCATGAAGGAATTCGTTTCGAGGGTCCCCAAGGAGTACTTCCACTTGGAAGATGACTATTATTTCTCTGTTGACTTCCACGACATGCATAGGCTGCTGCGGCGCAAGGACCTCGACGTTGCCCAACTCACCCTTTTTGCCATGTAAGTTATTGCACCTCTGCATCGTTGTAGGTATGTTCATTATGATCAAACTAACAATGCCATGATGACGACTTGTGCTTGCAGGATGCAATCATATGTATGCAAGGAACTAGGGCAACCTATTATCTATCTATCTCCTATGCATATTACCTAGAGGGCCATCATTGGCTACAATGTACCGGACACGGATCCGAGGCTGGTGAACTTGGACAGGATGCAGCGAGTGCTAATCTAGACTAAAATGCAAGGCGAGATTAAGTACAGAAAGGGACAATACATCTTACAAGCCATGAAGAAGATCCGGGAAATGGGTGTATCCTTGCCGCCACCAGTTCGGGTAAGTCAAAACGATACCTACAATAGCTATTGGGTTCACCACTTTTCATATTTCAAGATTTGAGATCCATATTATTTCAATGGTGCAGGTTGGGCGTCACGGGCCACTGGATTGTATTTATAATCTATCCTCAGGATGGAAAGGCTGTCATATTTGACTCCTTGTGGAAAACGAACAAAGAAGCATACAAGGATTTTGAGTAAGTGATGACACACATCTTCTTTTATGCACTCAAAGTACGTATCAAATTTGTGTTGACACTAGTGGTTGCCATACAACACTTACAGGAAGTACGTGGAAGACCCCGACTGCTATGATCGGAGGTCCGAGAGGAAGAAGAAGAAGAAGAAGAAGAAGAAGAAGAAGAAGAAGAAGAAGAAGAAGAAGAAGAAGTATGGCACAAAACTGTGCGTGAGGCGAGAATTCCCGGTACTACTACTTACTCCTCCTACCCTTGCTGCTGCTGCTGCTACTACTACTTACTCTTACATTACTACTTCTGCACTACTACCAGTCCTAATGATTTTGTGTTACATATATCATGCATGCAGTGTGCCAAGCAACCTGAAGGCTCACTCTTGTGTAGATACTATGCTTGTGAGTACCTCATGGCTTGCGGGAGTTTAAACCACAGCTGGTGGCAGCTCAAGAAATCCTAAAATTGGTGGCAAAAGGAAAAGGTGGACAGTAGGAACATTACTCAAACAGTAGCCAACATTTGTAAGTTTGTCACGGACGAATGTTGTGAAGTTGGGGGAAAGTTTTTCAATGCCGAGAGCGAGCTAGGGAGGGACGAGAAGTTTGAGAAGGTACGCAACTGGAGAACCAGCGATCTAGACATGAACGACTACAAGTTGCCGGACATCTTCGAATAAGTGACCTTAGCTTCTCATGTGAACATTTGATGTGCTTTTGTAAACTATGTGAACATTATTATAATATGAACTTAGTGTGTGACATGCATGGATCGTCGAACGATAAGGACAACGACACATGAATGGATGTAATATATATGTTTATCCTTGATACGCGTGTTTTCTGCTTTGTATGTGTTTTAACCTGACAAAATTCGGTTTCAAATTCAAATTCAAATTCAAAACCGAAATAAATAAGCTTTTTTTATTCTGGAAATACTTAACAAAGGCGGGCACATAACAAGAAACCGCCTCGGTTAAACATTTAACGGAGGTGGTTTCCTTAAGCAAACCGACTCGGTTACATCATTAAAGGAGGCGATCGAATTAAGGCAACTGCCTCCGTTAATAAGTATTAACAGAGCCGGTTACATTAAGGCGCCCGTCTCGGTTAAACTATTAACCAAGATGGTTGGCCAACAGCCTCGGTAAATGCCACGATTAACCATGACCTTTGCTCCGAGGCGGTTGACCTGCCCGCCTCGGTTAAGCGATTTGGCCCGCCTCCGTTAAGTTTATTGTAGTAGTGATGGAAAAAATGGTTCAAGAATTGTTCTCAATATCAACAGATGAAAAGATCCATATTGCAGCATTCAACTCTTGTCCCAAAGCAGTGTGATAATCTTTGTTATTTTGGTCCTCTCTACTCGATCAACAAATATCATGTGGCAACCTTCCAAAACTTATACATAGTTTTGGTGATTGGTCCAAAGGATATTAATATTTGGTCAAGCAATTATGAGAACACTAAAGGATTAGGTAATGAAATTCTTTAGCACTAGATTATTTGTAGGGCAAAACTCCAAGGGTCCTAGAGTATAGAGTAGGATTATGAAAAAAGTAACACTATCTTTTGGATCTTGCTGTGTTTTAAGGGTGTTGTGGTTAATTTCTTTAAAAACATCTCTCTTTAGGTGGATGTTTTTGATCCATTAATCATATTGTTCTACAACATACATATAAATCATTTTTTATACAGTGCACACTAAGTGCCTTACTTACAGTATCAGTATATCACATCTCGATCAGGAGACTGGTGTGCACTCATGTATGAGTATGCATGGTGCGCACGAACATTAGGTCGTTCTAATCGTGAATAGAACCATCTACATCTTCCTCTTTAGAAGGAAGGGTGGCAGCATTTTTATCCATGGAATTTTAGTACCAGGCAGGGCTGAAGAGGACTCTTCTAAAAAAGTGGACTCTTGGTATCAATTCAACCTACCCTTTTTAAGACAAGATTATTTTCTACTGGTAGCATAATGATGAAATAACTAATAGCACGAGCACGTTTATTACCTGTACGTCCTGGTATCCCATATGCAAACAACATAGTGCCCTAATATGGTGACCAGTATTGGAAGCGTTGGGTGGCAAGCAATAAAACAGGTGTCCCCCCACACGCCAAGTTTGTGAACACGTTTCTCCGCATGCAAATCCCATATCTGCGTACTCAACATGAAAGGGAAAACATTATTTCTACTACATTAGGTTATTAGTTTTTTGTTCAAACTACTGAAGTGAATGCGTTACATACCCATGCACAGTCAGAACCTTCTACGAAGGCCTTCCGATAACAAGCAGTAGCCATGAGGTTCCCACTCCTACCAAAGGAAAGATAGGCAGCACTGATGGACTCCACTGGTAATGTGGTGATAGGATATGAAGAATCAATATTCCAGACCTGCAAATTTCAGCTGCAACGATCACACAAATTCTGAGGAAAGAGAGAGGACTTGTAAAAAATTCTCTCATCCATGTCCATGCAATTTAGGAAACAGAGAGAGGCAACCAAACCTTAACTTTATTATCCAATGAAACACTAGTAAAGGTGTTGGTGTCTCTTGGGTTCCACAAGAGACGGAACACCTGCTTGTTGGGCACATCAAATGTTCGGATGCACATCCACTCCTTACTCCAGTTCCAAAGCTTGATCGAGGTGACATTAGGAGTTGATGTGAGCAAGAACGGTTCTGTTGGGTGAACAGCCATCGTATCAAGAAATGTGCCATGGTGTGCTTCGAATTCCATCATCTTGTCCTTTGTAGTGTAGGAGTAGACATGGACCCATCCGTTGTCATCCCCAGTTACAAACCATTGCTCCCTAGCAATAAATTTGGCGGAATAAACCCAACACTCGTCATTGGTATGTACTTTGGTGACCTTCAAGACCATTATTCTTTCCTATGCCAAACAATAAACAGTTCCATCAATGCTATGTTTCATTGTCGTAAGTAAAAGGAAGTTAAATACTATTTAAAGGTGTACTCATTCCATGCATACGAAATTTAAGTAAATTTATCTTAGTTTCATAACATTAAAATTTTGGCCTATTTTTCATATTTTATACATTAGTGAAAAAACTAGTGTAGTGTTGGTGTACTACCTGAAATATAAGGACACTCTAATTTTGTTCTAAGTCAAACTAAGTTGGGCCACTAAGTTTATAGAGAAGATTATGTCAAACTCATAATCTTTTATATTTTAGGAATAAGGAAGTACCATAAAAATATTATTGTGTATTAAATGGTTACAAACCATTATCACATATGGTTTTCCTTTGATTCTTTGTCTAAGTGATCCTGATGTGCCCTGCCACACCTCAAAATTTCAATTTTTGGGTTGTGAATAGAAAACACTAAATAAAATAAGTAATATTTTTTATAAAATTTTGCAAGATTTATTTATTTGATGATGATTTAAAGTAAGAAAATGAGGTTTATAAAAACTTTTATAAAGTTAATGTTATGTGTTTGTTGCATTAATGCCATTGCATTATTTTCGTTCTGTGAAAAGTGAATTCAAAAATGCATTTAAGACTCGAATAGGTTTTGTTCCTTTCTTTTAAAAAAAGGGGTTCAAAATATATTTTCAAAACTTAGTTTCAAAAACAAGTTTAGAAAACAACAAAACTTTATTTTCTGTTTGGACCAAGATCCCTTTCACCCAGCCCAAAACTTCCTTCTCTTTTCGTTTTCAGCTTTTCCTTTTTGGCCTACCCAGTTTCCTCTTCTCGGGCCAATTCTTGGCCGGCCCGTCTACCTCCCGCACCGCCTCCATTTTTCCTTGGCCCGCAGCCACTTCCACACACCAGGCCGGCCCAGCTTCCCCTTCCACACTTCTTTCCATCTCTGGCTAGGACGCGGCCCGTCTTCACGCTGGAGGACAGCCCGCACCTCTCCTCTCTCTCTCTCACCGCTAGCAGGGCCCTGCCAGCCTCTTCTCTCTCGGTCACCGACGGGTGGACCCCATTTGTCAACGACCCGGCTCGCCGTCCCCAACCTCCAGCCTCCCTCCGCCATCGCTAGGCGAGCCGCGAGCGCGCGACCAAGCCCCGGCCACGCAGACCGGGCACCTCGCGCGGACCAAGCCTGAGCCCGTGTCCACCGCAATCCGCGCGACCGAGCCCTTCTCCTGCGTATCCGCCCCCGCTGTGGACTCCTTCGCCTGCGACCGCGCCCCCATGACACCCGCCCTCTTCGGCCGCCATTGACGGCATGAAGCCGGCCTCGTGACCGCCCTCTCCTCCTCTCCGCCTGCACCACCTCTCCATGCCGCCACCACTCCGCCCCTCCTCAGCTCCCTAGCTCGCAAACGCGCCGCCGCCATAGCTGCCGCCTTCGAGCAGCGCCCTCCGCCGTCTCCGGCCAACCGCCGCCGCCGCCAAGCCGGCCGAGCCGAGACGCTGTCTGCCAGCAGCGTGCGTGCCGCCCGCCAGGCCGGCCGGAGAGCCCCTGGACGGCGGCCCTCTCCCACGGCGAGGCCCCCTTCCACCGCATGAACATTGCAACCATGGCCATGGGGAGGAAAAGGGCCAAGGTTGAAGACGATGGTAATTACAGAATTGCCACTAATCATATAATCCCCGCTATTTAGGCCCGTTCGGATGGTATGGTTGAGGAATTTGTGAGAGAAAACATTGTTCCGGATGAAAAAAGAAGCGGATCAAGTCAGGTTTAAGGGCACGCGAACGGGACCTTAATTATTTGATCTCTGATTCGAGTAGTTCTTCGTATTGTTGCGCTCTATGCAGTAGTGATGTTCAATATGTAACTTAATTGCGATTTTGTTAAGTAAAATATTAATTTGATTAAAGCATGCAACTGAGTTTCTAATTAAAAGCAACTTACGGACGTCTTTCATAATTGAATATTATCTTGATTAATAGCAACTTAAATGTGTCTTTATTAATTATAATTTGCCTACTTTCATAATTGAATATTATCTTGATTAATAGCAACTTAAATGTGTCTTTATTAATTATAATTTGCCTACTTTAAACACAATTCATATAAAAATTAGTTTAGATGCTTTCACATGCACTTTTCTTTTGCAAAGTTTAAGTTTATTTCGGTTAAATGATACATGCATGCCTATAAACAAAACTATGACCAGTTTAACTCGACTTTCAAAAAAACGTGATTTTGTGTAATCTGAATTAATAGGCTTCACGTGGTTTTTCTCAATTAAAATAAAACAAGTTTGTAGTTGTTTCTTTTATAATATAAAACTATCGTTTCTTTTCAACGATAGTTCTATTATCCGCATTTCGTGGATCTCTTGAGGTAGTTTTAGTACGTTGTTTTGTCTCATGTGGTATGCTGCTCTTAGTTGTCTTTATTTGTTTGCTTGTATGTTGGTATGCTTTATTGCTACGATCTGCGAGTTGAAGAAGAGATGTCCGTAAGCGCCGGAGGCTGGAAGGCTAGAAGATAACTGAAGGTTCTCTAAGTGAGTTGCATTAAACGGAAATTAAGTGTAAAAGACAAGTATAACATGAGACCATCTTTGTTTTCCTAATAACTCTTAATGTAATTTAACTCATGTGCATGTGTCCACCATGTTACCCCTAAGGATATCCTAGCTATTGTTACCTTTATACCTTACCTACACATGTTATATGCATAGGGTAGTATTTCTGCTAGTTCTTAATTAAATAACCATGATCTGTAACTTGATTGATGGTATATGCAATAAACGCTAAAATATGCTTTTTAACAACATGGACAGAAGGGTGCTGGAGTATTTGGCTACTTTTCGAAACTAACACAACGGCGGAGGTGACGCTGCCCTCATTATCGCCAGAGGGAACATCGACCGCGTGCGCTGGTACCTACATCACCGGCAGATGGTACACTGGACCAGCGTTGATGTTCTCGTCATCACAGTCGGATGGTACGCCGGTCCAGCATCGATGGGTCCATCATCACCAGCGGATGGTACGCCAGACCAGCGTTGATATTCCCCTCATCACAACCGGATGGTACGCCGGTCCGGCGTCGATGGGTCCATCATCACTGCCAGATTATACGCGGGGCCAACGTTGATGTGTTCATCATCACCGCCGGTTGGTACGCTGGCCCGGCGATGATAAGTACATCGTCACCACCAGATGGTGCGCCGCCCCGGCGTCGATGGCTGCATCATCACCGCCGGATGGTATGCCGGGCGGGCGTCAATGGATGCATCATCACCGCTGGATGGTACACCGGGCCGGCGTCAATGGATGCATCATCACCGCTGGATGGTACACCGGGCCAGCGTCAATGGATGCATCATGACCGTTGGATGGTACAATGGGCCAGCGTCAATGGGCGCATCATCACCGCCAGATGGTATATCGAGCCGACGTCGATGGATGCATCATCGCCGCCGGATGGTACGCCGAGCCGGTGTTGATGCGTCTACTATTACTGCCGGATGGTATGTCAGACCGATGATGGTAACATATCGTCACCGCTGGTGTGCAACCGGCGGAGATGAAGGTCGCCGATCACCGCCGACTTTCACCAACGAGGGCCAAAACCGTTGGTAAAGGGGGGTCTAGAGCCGGCGGTGATTAACTTTTTGTAGTAGTGCTAGAGGCTTCACTTGAAGATTAAAATGTGTATTTCCGCTACTCTGATAAATATCCGTCTCTATGTAATATTGTTGTTTGTTATATAATTAAAGCATTGTCTCGATGCTACTGTAATTTGTCGTCTTATGTGTGTCAGTGATTCCTAGGCACACATAGGATTCTGCATTTGATTTTGTCCTTAAAATCGGGTGTGAAGCCCCAAAATCACAGATCCAACAATCTGTAGAGAAAACACATACATTTTTTAAGGTGAAAACCATATAATGGCAAACTTGTCCATCCTACCTTAGGCCTTGACAACCTACTTAGATAAACTTTCCCACATCACATTAGGCCTAAAAAATCATTTTATGTGGCATGATTTTGTATCAGTATGGATAGCAATAAAATTTTGATGTCATCTAGGAATGTTAAAACAATCTTGGTGCAAATTGTTCAACATTTCCAAACACTAGTTGTGACTAATCACTCCAGCCACAAATAAATAAGTGAAGTTTTGGGGTTATGAGTTAGTAATTCAAACTGGCTGCCATTTTTATTATTATATATCTATAAAACATAGCAATGATACTTTTATTAATCAATTTTCAAAACAATTAAATCTACTCATATCATTTACGGACATTCAAAGTCAACATGTCAAAGTGCCCAAAATGATACTCCACTAGAGGACCCAAAATCTCATTTATATATATGTGGCTGGGGTGAATGTTTTTTGATAGTGGTGATCATGTAAGATCTCTAAAATGGCACCCTTCTTTATTTTCAAGGAGTATATCATTGCATGGGACACAAGTTTGATCTATATTTACTCTGTAAATATTTCACATATACAAAACGTATAATCATAAATATTTTTTAACGTGAAGTTAAAGATATCAACTGATAGAGTAAATGTCTAACGAAATGAATTAGGACTCTGTATTTCAAATGGACTGAGTACTATTTCTATGGTTGAGGGAGGCAATAATATGTACTGATATACCTTTGTCTGGTAGTTCCAAATAGAAACCCATCCTTTTGTGTCACCCACCAAGATCCTGTCATGCATGCGGCAATCAAATGGAGGAAACATAGAAAGACAAGGATGGTGCAGACAAATAGATAGTGCCTCTAAAACCATCTACTTACCATGTCTCTGTAGGGTGTACATCTATGTGTGTCATGTACCCATCTTTCAATGTTTCTGGAATCAACTGTTATACAATAAAAGAAAAAAGCAGTCATAAGTAATCAACCGACCACACTCCTCCGCATACGGCCATGTAGCACACGATTGATTCCCATGCAGGATATGACACGTGTGTGTATCTAGAAATTAAATATGGCAAACTCACCTGGTGGATTACTGCGTCCTGGCAACTTGATGGATCGCAAATGGAAGCCGTAAGAACTGTAAGGTGCCAGTTGTTCCCTATCCTCACTCCCTTCACAAACTCACTGGCGATGTTAAAATTGCTACCAATGGATGATTTCCCATTTTTTAGTACTTCCTCTGATCTCATTTCGAGCAACATCACCTGGTACATGCCTATTTCTTGCGGAGGCGGTGGTAGTTGTTTCTCTTCCACCATCATTGTCACGACCAAAGTGGAATGCGGTTCCACCAACCGGAAAAGGGGTGAACATGGGTCCTTCTGACGCTTGCCATCCCAGAAACCTAGAAAATGAAGGTCGGGGGTTGTATCTGGGCAGCAGGGTTTAATACAGACACCAATGTAATGGTCTGCCCTGTTGGTTATGGTCACAGGGCATCTGATACGCCTGTTTGGCTGCCAAGGAAAACGGAGCTTCCGCGGGTGGACATCTAGTAGCTTGCCACTATCAGTTGACCTGATGGGGCTTTTCTGCAGAAGTGACAACCATTTATATTTATTTTTCATCAAATCCTAGTAAAACAACTATCCAAACATGTTTTGCCTCACTAAAATAAATGGCTGTTTCAACAAGTAAATAACTTCCTCACCTCGGTGCTTGTCTCCGTTGGTCCCATTGGTCCTCCGCTGGTTGTTAGCTGCTGCGAGGATGGTGCTACAGAAACAGCCATGGACTCTACCTCACTGACTAATTTGGAGACAGAACCAAGTGTCTGCAGTGAAATTTTGGAGACCATCAACACACAACATCATCACATAGAAAAGAATAAATCTATTACTTTTCAAAGAATCAATGATATTCAATGTTTCTGAATATCTAATTTGGGCACAACTGAAACTAAACTTCCGGCATATGGACCTTAGCTCCTGAAGGGAGAGACGCCCTAGCCCGACTCCTCCTGCCCTCCTCCCCACCGCCGCCGCCGGCTGCGCCGGTCCCCGGCGCCTGCGCACGCCTCTCCCTCGCCTTCCTCCCCTAGATCTGCAGCCCGCACCTACCCTTCCCCGCCTCCCCGAGCGCGTGCGGGCGTGGGCGCCCCGGCGCCGCCGCCACCGCTGCTTCCCCCTCACCTTCCTCCCCCAGATCCGCCACCCATACCTCCCCTCCTCCACCTACCCAGGCGCGCGCGGGCGCGGGTGCCCCGGCGCCGCCACCACTCGATTCGGCTCCGCAGCCAGCGCCGGTTGGCGCCAACGACGCCACCGCTGATGGTCCTGCCGCCGGCGCCGTGGCCGCGCAGCTGCCGCCTCCTCCCGTGAAGCCCGCGCCATGCGCACCGATGTTGACGCCGCCACAGCCATAGACGTCCCCACGTTGTGTGTTGAAGCCCGCCTCCGCCGCCGGGGTACTCACGGCCCCTCCGTCGCCAGGAGCAGACGACGCCGACGTGACCACTTCTGCCGCGTCCACGCCACCCCCACGGCCATGGTCGGATGATGTCGCCGCCGCCGCCGCAGCATAGCGTGTGGAAGCCAGAGCAGGGGCGGGCGCTGCCCCCGCTGCCTCCGACCTCGACGCCTTCCTCGTCCACCCGTCCGCCCCCGCTCCGAGCCCGTCATCCAGCCTATCTCCTGATGCCGCCCCTTCCATCCTGGGGGTAGCGTAGCAGGATGCTCCGAGGCCCGTCGTTGGGCAGACGATGACTCCGATGCGGAAGAGATGCCAACCATCCCACGACCCCTACCTGGACACAGTTCGTGGGAGCCGCAGGACGTCGACGCGGCCTGTGATGTCCCTGCCACGCACTCAACCTCTGACGTCGCGCCATGACGGTGCGGCGGTGGGTCGTCAGGGTGCTGGGCGAAGGCGGGGGAAACGTAGACGGCCGTGTCCACAGCTGTTGTACGGCATGCCGGCTCGGCCAGCGGAGGGCCGCATCCCAGCACGCCAGCGCCTCGGACGTCGTGGATGGGTCTCCACCCCCAACGCCGATGGGTGGCAGGAGATCCTCCGCCGATAGGAGACGCGACCTGTGGCCGCCCAGGCTAACCCATGAGGGCCAGCAAGCAGAGGCTAGCTAGCGAATCGTTGACCGCCAAGGCGCATCTCGGTAGATCTTCATGGCGTGTGCCTCAATTGCCTCTCCTCCGCGCATCGGGTGGCAACCTGCAAGCTACCCCAATGATGTCTGCGGTGCCGAGAATTTCGACACATTGCGCGCGACTGCAAGCAGCCAAGGCGTTGGGATCTCGGAGCTCGGGCGATGCAAGAGCCGTGGGTCGCCAGCTGCAACGCCCTCTTCATGACGCCCGTAACGCCTGCTCCACTGGGTCGGCGGACCATGGGGGTTCGCATGACTCTGGTGGGGTCAAGACGGGCAACGCCGTTCCTGCCACCGGTGGCGCGGATGGCCGCTGCGGCGGTGGATGGCGACACCGACGTCGTCGTCGTCGACGGCGGTGGCGGAGGAGCCACGGTCGTTCGGCCTGGACCGCTCGAGCAGCTCTGGACGACACATCTGTCGCTACTGATGCCCAGGCCAGACATGGTGAGCTGGCCGGGGTGACGGGCCTCGTCGAGCTCGACCCTCTAACGCTGACGCCGCGCATAGACGCCACAGCTGATCGTGACATCACGGAGGACCCGATGCTGGTGGAGCTCGTGGCTTCGCTCGCTAGCAGTTGGGCTGTCGCATGGCCTTCACCGGACACCCAGCCGGTGGACGAGGCCCCGGCGATGGTCACCTGTGATTGCACGCAGACGCTGTCCCAACATGTCGACTCGACGCGGCTGACACCGCTCCCGCGCCCCGCATCGCCCCAGTGTCGCCTCAGCTGGGGCAGTCACAGATCACACCAAAGCGGCTGGTGTTCGATGCCCCCTCGGTTGTTGATGTGCCCACGATGGGCGAAGAGGGCTGCTTCGGCCCTGTGCACACAGACACAAGTACGCCGCCGGGGGACACCCACCAGACAGTTGACGATGACATCTCCTTCATGCGCCGCCTCGACAACTTCACTAAGGCAGTGGTGTGTAAGCGGGACTCTCCGCTAATTCGTGAGCCTCCCAAACAGCCGTTTGCTAAGCCAGTGCTGCCGTGGCAGAGCAGGCGGTTGGCGGGTTGGCGGCTCAAAGCCTATCCCGAGTACCTGCTTCCAAGCGAGGTGAGGTGCTGATCATGCAATGTATGGGCTACATCAAGGGTCTATTAGCGCCATCAGCGTCCGAGGTGGAGGCCTTTGACGGGCTCTTCGAGGGCAACCTGACCGCGTAGAAGGCCGAGGCGATGGACACGCTCTTCTCGGCCGTTGAAAAGGCCCGTCCAGGCAGCAGCGAGGACGCAAGGCCACCTCCTAGGTCGCACCGCTGCATAAGTTTTGGTTGTTTCCGTTTATGTAATATCGCAACAAAAGGTATTTTGCTAGGATGGTCCAGTACGGTTATGGTAGGTCGACCTCCTTTGGCGCTTGATGAAGCGCGTTGTATGTCTGTTTAAACTCTTCTACTTATTACAATGATACGCAAACCTTTTGTGTATTCGAGAAAAATTTCTAATTTGAGAAACAAGGAATTAAGATGTTCACATTTGCCCCAGCTTGAAGTTAAACAAATATGCTATTGCAGCTAAGTACTACCACACACAATAAATTTTTAAACAATCTGGTAAAAAACAGATTTGAATGATCCCAACATATTCCTATAATATCTTTATATGCATTTAATATGCAGAATGCATCTCTATTGATCTTAAAATTACTAACCGGAGCCTCCATATGCTAGTTCTCATAAGAACAACTATATAAGAAAAAATAAATATTAGAAATTCTCTAAAAATCTGAAACATAAAACCATTAATTTGGGAAACTTTAATGTTGGTTGATAATAATATTCATTATTGGATCTATTCTATTTTTAAAAACAATTGCTCCACTCAGCCATTATGAAAATTTTAAAAAAAAGTTACCCTTGAATGATATCTAAATTACCCACCATACCACAATGTAAATAGTATAAAATAACCCCTAAATACATTTAAAATTTAACCATTTTATCATTATCAAAATAGCTTAAGAGTAACCAATAAATATATACCTAAATTACCCACATCTTCCATTAAAAAGTGTGCTCTATAATAACCTTGTAATCCTCGTCTAAATTTTTCAACTATGCCATTATGACAAAACTAAATTAAATCCGTATATGTTGCACACCTCCTCCATTATCGAAAATAGCCTAAAAGAATCAGTAAATTTACATCTAGTTACAAACCTAAGAGATTATGAAAATAATCAACAGTAAGCCTCTAAATTTCCATATGTACATACCCTACATTATGAAACATAACAGAACCAATAAATTTGCATTTAATTACAAACCTAAGAGACTGTGAAAATAATCTAAAGCCTCTAGAATTGCATACAAAGTACCAATCTGCATCATTATTAACAGGTAATATAAAACAATCCATATATATGCATCTAAACTATCTTCTCCTTCATTGTTAAAAGAATTCACAAAGTAATCTACATATGCTCCTATGTTGCCACTTTTGTCGTTGCTATTATAGAAAAAAAAGTTAATACATACATAAATGATGTGTGTGCGTGTGATCATGCATACCAGGTATATCACACACACACACACACACACACACACAGAGAGAGAGAGAGAGAGAGAGAGAGAGCCATTTGTAGTGAACACTCACTTTATACCCTTAGTTTCTTAAAAAAATATACACAAAACCAGATAAAACAATTCTTTATGGTAAAACTTCCAAGAGGTGAATCATTAAATAGGTCTATAATTGATCCTCATGATTAGAGTTCAAATTAATCACGATGACAAGTGATTAATAGTAATGTGTTTTTTTTAAATGGAAGCTCAGATGCTAAGGCCTCTAGTTAAGAGGAGACTGCCCACAGTCTTAAACCCAGGTACTAGCAGATCATGTGAGTACCTCTCTAAAACGGGTTTGATACTCTGATGTCTTAAAGCATAGGGGGGATGTTCTCATGGATGAGAAGAAACAAGAAAATTAAAATTTGTATTTCATCACATAGTTTCTCAAAGTGACTTCAAAGTTGGAAGGAAACAAGAATAACTATGTCAATAACACTCCAATGTGTAATGCTTAGTCGTTACTTGATTGGAGAGGAAAATATATTCTTGCAGGGTGAATTGAACGTTTGTGTCAATAACTCTTACCATTTTCTTAATCACCTGTTCAGTTTCATTCAGCAAATTTACGATGTCCCCTATTTTAGGCCTTTTCATTCGGTCAGCTTGGATGCAATCTAGTGCTATTTCAATAGCTCTCTTCACTTGATGACACTCAGCTTCTAGTGACGTACACCTCGGTGTTTCCTCTAGCCTATTTCTCCAATTTTCAAGAACCTACAGGTTGGATAAATAAAATATATATGTTGTTAGTATCAAATAAGTATACCAGGCATAATGCAATATTGGTCAAATAAAGATATATCTAGCTGTGGGTCATGATATAACTCATCTTACAAGGTTAATAAATTCTTGGGAAGACATGTATGCACTCTGGTGGTAGCCATTTTCTCCGGACATTATCTGTATCATTACAACACCCAAGCTAAATATATCTAACTTTTTTGAGACTAAATTTCTGTCAAGGTATTCGGGAGGCAAGTATCCACTGCATGGAGACATAAATGATAGATGAAAAAGTGTTACAAAACAATTTTTATTGATTTCGAAATTTTGTTTAGAGAGGTAACAGTTACATTGTTCCTACAACACTCTGTGTAGCTTGGGTATGCTCGTTGCAGACAAGCTTCGATAAACCAAAATCAGCAAGTTTCGGCACCATATCCTTGTCTAGCAATATATTGTCTGGCTTCAGATCCAAATGATAAATAGGATTTTCCAAACCCTCGTGAAGGTATTTCAAACCCTCACATGTTCCTTTAATAATCTTGTATCGTGTTTGCCAATCAAGTCCATGACATTCATCTGCAGTATGAACAAAGGGTAGTAGATAAATCATATATAGTTGAATACTGTTGGGGTATATAATGAGCACCGTAGCCAACGTATTGGACAACTTACCAGAAAGATGCTTTCGCAGACTTCCCTTGTGCATGTACTGAAAGCAGAGAGCTCTATAGATGTTATGGACAAAAACTGTTCTTCCATCACTGAGCTCAACATATTCCAGCTTAATTTCATAGCAGTAGCCAAGTAGTTGCACAATATTTTGATGTCTGAGTCTCCTAAGGTTTTCAAACTCTCTCTTGAATTGCTCAAGATCATCATGTTCTGGCATTAGATGTAGCATTTTCACAGCAATTTCTTCCCCATTGTGCACTCCCTAATCATTATCTCTTATTAACACTCAACATAGAAGGTTTTCTAGTATTGACAGATTAAATGTTAAGGGGTACATACTCATTCTCATATTGATCTAAATAATATGTGCCTACTACTCTACTATATAGTCAAAAGAGATCACACACAGATGGCTGCTGAAAACAAAAATAAGGCTAGAAGTTCTCGAAGATCAAATATCAGGTCCTGATTTTGGTGGGGTCATGATTAAGATTATATTGAACAACTACAACCTATAGATCCACATAGAATTTTGTGACTAAATTATTACAAAAGAGACTCAGGCACCAACCAACGTAATCAAGGTCAACAGGATTAAAATTTGCCAAATAGAGCCCAGGTACTTAATTACAATCAACTTTAGCAAACAAGTGCCCAGAGATTGTAGAAACTACCATTTTGAATCCAATAACCAACAAGCAACTCAAATAAGTAACTAATTAACGTCATCTATGCATATATCATGGAAAAAGTTAAGGACATTTAATCAATCAATAAAACTAAAGGAAAAACACCTAAAAGTTAGGTAATGTAAAATTCATCTGAAGGTTAAGCTGTGCAACTATATATGCAGAGGCCATGTTCCTTATGGAAGAATAAATTAGGATACAAAGAAATGTATACAGTCCACATTGCAGTGGTTAGGAATTAGAGTTGTCTAATGAAATGATAAAATAATCACATCTGATTTCTAAATTAGGTAGGATAATAAGCTAGTTGAAGGACAAGTGTGCATATTAACACCAGAAAACACCAATCCGTCGTCTTTCATCCATGAAAAGTTAACCACCAAACTTGTACACAAACGGCAAAGAACTACTGATGAAAATAGAACGTGCATGCCTATCTTATAATAAGTGGGTTTTTTCAGGTGTCCTAATCTTGTGGTGATATACATGCATGTACTTGTTTCATATCCGAGTATAATTATGGGTGTTTAGGGCTGAAATAAACCACAGTTGACGATATAGGTTGTAACATATGTGATTGCTTTCAATAGATGACAGCAATACTTACATATAGCAGATGTTATTGCTTTCAATAGATGACAGCAATACTTACATATAAGTCTAATTAGTTAAAATAAAGGAATGCTGACTTTACAGGACCAACAGACATGTCAGTTCAGTTTTACTACTACAAGCCAAATAACAATTATCAGTAGTACTATTATTACATACACCACAGTTGGTCATTCAGATATATTATTACCTTATAAACTTTCCCAAATGTTCCACTACCAAGTTTCTGTTCTTCAGAGAAATTATTTGTAATTTGTTTTAATAATTCCAGTGGCATGATTTTTGGTACCACTCCAGAAGGTCCAGACTCGTGTAACTTCTCCATGCTACTATGTTCCAGGAATTATCAAACCATTTAACAAAGCAGTCTGCAAGCCAAAAAAAAAAAGAATTTGTTCAGCTAATAGGAAAACTAAATTTTATGATGCAGTATTGTAAATCTGTAACATAAGGAATGCATTTTACATTTCCATGGAAACATGAAAAAATAGCACGTTGCCTTTTGGCTCCAAGTATTGCAATGATTTATATACAGAAATGCTCAGATGATATCTACAGACTCTTGTTGCACTAAGATCAATTTTTCCATAAGATTAAGTTAGTGTTTATGTTTAGGCTAAGTCTAAGATCATGTAATTCTAAGTTTAATTATGTCAACAGGTTGTTCACACTGGACGCTTAGTTTGTTATTGGTGTTCTTTGTCTTGTTTATTAAAGCTGTATTTGGCACACACACAGTTATCACGTACATGCTGAAGAGCACTGGGGCTCGGTACAGTGCACTTGCATTGCAGCCCCAACAATTTATAGTTATGATTCCGTTAACTGTTGACTCCAGAAGATTATTCCAATGTTTGTTCGTTTACAGTACGCCAAGCACCAACAAGTTCTGTAAACGAAACCCATCAAATTCCCCATTGATTATTTTAATGTTAGTTCATCTCGCCGATGTGCGACAGGACTGCAGGTAGCCGGTGGCGGCTTCAATTCTTCCATGAGAAGCCGCTGCCGCCTAGTGAAAAGCATCAATCGCCCACAAATGGATAAAGAAACTACTACTGAATATAACAATTAACAATGGCAAGGCTTCGATTGAGAAGCAGTTGCCTAGCTAGCTAAAGCAGTACTCCATAGGTGATAGAATCATAGGACTCAAGAGGATGACTACTGATCACTAACCTGGAAGAAGATGGACGGATTGGAGCCTGCCTGCACGCACCAAGGCTTGGCTGCTGCCTACCCGAGAAGAAGAAACCGCGTTTACGCAGCAGTCGTTGGAAGGAGCTAGCTTTTGAGTTCACAATGCAAACAGTTTGGTCGTCTTTGGGGGCGGACTGGAGATCTTGATTGTTTGTTTTTATTCACTAGCTGTTTGGTCGGACTTTGTGGCCGAGTTGTTTTTGTTCACCGAGAAGAAATAAACAATCGAAGTTGACTTTGTGGACATTAATGGACCACTTATTTTGTTTGGTGCGGTGGTAGAGCCCTCCATAAACTCCAACTCCGCTATAGAGCAGCTTTAAAAAAAACTGAAGTTTTTGAGCAAGCATCGCTTTAGATGCTCTCACAACTCTATATTTTTTCTCTAGAGGAAAGTTTGTAGAACTGCATCTATTTGCCTGAAAAACGTAGAGCGGAGAAGAAAAACATTGACAGAGCTGTCCTAAATAGGCCCATGAAGGAGGATTCGGAGTGGGTGCCAACTACACCTTGAAGCTCAGTTGTGTTGCACTAGTCAGAACTAATAATCACTACTCACTACTGGGTTGGAATCCCCATGCATCACTGCCGAAATTCATGCTAGTAGAGATTAATCGGAAATGATGCAGGTGGCCAATCACTACCAGTTCAACGACCCGGCAATGATAATAGGCTATCACTGTCGGGTCAAAACATCAACAGGCAGTGGTATCCATGGCTAGCACTGCCGGATTAGCCCATGAACCGGCAATGATATGTTGAGTGTCGCTGTTGGTTTAGGCCATGACCCGACAACGGCACTTATGTTACTACTATACTGCCAAATCAGTGCACATCCGGCAGTGAATTGTTGACTTGATGATCGGCTTTGTTGTTTGGGCCTCTCTCCGCTGCGTGTCTAGGTTGTGTGCAGCCTTGGGCGATCTAGCTCTTGTTCGTGTGTGATTGCAATCTAGGTCTACACTACCTCCATTCTACACTACCTCCATTCTCTCACGACAACGCAAGATATCTCCAGCATGGTGGCGCCATGCTCATGCTCACTCGCGTGAGCACTGGGCCGCTTGCGCCACACTTCCGCCGCTAGGCTCGCACCACATCCAGCCTCTGTTGTCCTGCGCTCTCGCACCACGCGGTGTGCCGCTTGCAAGACGCCCTTGAGCTCGTGTGCTGCGCAATACGTGCTCACACGATGCTGGTGTTGCAGCCAAAGTTCTGGGATTCAAAAGCTAAAAAAAAGTTCTGTGTCTCCTGAGATGGACACATTTTGGATAATTCGACAAATTCAGCCCAGGATTCAACCTGTTGACTAGTCAAAAACTCATAATTTGATGAAATTTTACCAAAATTTGATGGCATTTGATAAACATGGCATCTGCAGCATCACCAAGGACAACACGTCCATTTGGGGTTGATAATCTGCACGTCCTTCTACTGAGTGATGCTACTAATTTCTTGACCGCCGGCATCAGCGCTGCTGCGGTGGCACCTAGCATGTTGTACACAGCTAGTGTCCATTTGAGTGCTAAGACCTCCATGGCTCCATGAGAAGATACCAAAGTGGAATAGGAGAGGAACATGGGGTGCCGGATGCGAGATCAAGTTATGCGCCACCGCAACTGAGTTGTTAGCCGCCAGCCACCTGAAGGAATAGGATGAAGAAAGGAAGAATTAGGGATTTCAGGTTGTGGTTCATGCTTTTATGAATGGAGGAGGCATTTGTGGGCCAATTTGGACCTCGGGGTGCGATTGGTAAGAAATAGAAGGTGAGAATATTTATACGTGTCGGGTATCAATATTAGGGATACCCGGCGGTATAAAGGAAATGGCCATTAGCCTTGATGGCCCGAGCAATTAAGGGTTAGATTCTAGTCTCAGCTGACCCCTCAAGGGGAGATTCCGCCCCACCCGATCCTGAGGGCGCCCTGGAGGGAGACCCCACCTCGCCCGACCCTAGGGGCGCGGGATCGGTCTCACCTGACCCCCCTAGGAGGACTCCACCTCACCCGACCCCTCGGGTGAGGACTCCGCCTCACCAGACACCTCGGGTGCGGGCTCTGTCTCGCCCGACCCCAAGGGCATGGGCTCCGCCTCGCCCAACCATGAGGGCGCGGACTCTGCCTCGCCCGATAGGGGTCCGTACCGCTCCCAACCACTACGGGTCTCGGAGTATGGGTCCGGGGTCAAACTTCTAACACCGGAAAGGGAGTAAGCGCGTCTTGACGTAACCCGATGCCACGACGGGCCATAACTGGGGGTTCACATCACCCACAGTGTCGGACATGCCGACACTATGCTGCCTAACCTCCGTATGGCCGCTGACAGAAAGGCCGGTTCTCCATGCCATCCGCTGGGACGGAATGGAGCGCCATGACCAGATGACGACGCCCGCATATGGCACTAGTGGTGAATAGGAGCACGACATGAGGGCCATCTCCATCATCATCTACAGCATCGGCAGGACCAGCATAAAGGAGAAGGACGCGACAACCCCGAAGGCCTTTGGCTCCTGAATTTCTCTCTTTTTCTCTCTCGTGTAACCTGCGTCTTCCCCTTCTTCTATAAAGCAGGAAGCAGGATGCCCCGCAGAAGGGGAGAGGGGGGCGAGACAACTAGGGGGGACACGCACACAAGCACCCAAAGATCGAGCTCTCAAACTCTCCTCACACGGAGACTTGGGACCCTCGGTTCCTCTCTCGACCATTTGTAACCCCTACTACAAACTCAGCGTAAGTAACACGAGCCGCTCAACACTGGACGTAGGGACATTCTGCCCGAACCAGTATACATCTTCGTGTCCTCTGGCACACCATCTGGGCCTTGACGTGCAATCACTAAAACTTCACCAGTCAGCGATTCGAAACACCGACAGTTGGCGCGCCAGGTAGGGGGCTTTTTGCACGTCACGCCGTTCTTCACCATTAGGATCTAGGTGGCCAGTCATCGTGCTCGCCTCATCCCGAATGCGCGCATCCACTTCGGTACTCTAAAGTTCCCAGTCCTCGAGGAAAGCCATTCGAACTTAGCCAGGCTCATTGCGCCAGACCCGTCTCCCGTTGGCCCCGACACGGACCTCGAGACCCTTGAGGGGACACGGCCCGATGTCCCAGAGTGCCTCCTAGGCACTCCCGATCACTTAGGCAGAAAAAAGAAGGAGCTATGGGGTGGAAATTTCCATGTGGCCGCAGCTTAGAACTGGGGTAGCAAGATGCCTGCCGAGGGCGCACCGAGCCGCCTCAAGAAGACACCCGAAACGCTGCGACCGAAGTGCGATCAGGGTGTCAGCTGGACTCGAGTCTGGCCCGAGGTGGCCCCTTTTTACGGTGTGGTACCCGATGAATAGGTCACACCGCTCGGGCAGATCGACCTGCCCGTCACCTTCGGAATTCATCCAACTTTAGGACCGAGACCCTCACCTTTCAAGTAGTGGGGTTTCGCGGGACGTACCATGCCGTCCTAGGACGCCCATGCTATGCAAAGTTCATGGCCATCCCCAATTACACCTACTTAAAGCTGAAGCTGCCGGGCCCCCATGGCATCATCACTGTGCACACCCCCGTTCAACATGCCTACAAGTGCGAGCTAGACTGCTGCGAAGCCATGACCACTTTAGTTGCCTCCAAGGGGCTCCCGCCCACCCAATGGGTGGCGGACAATGATATGTCCGACGCAAAGAAGGCAACTGGGTCATTCAAGCAGACCAAGGACACCAAGGAGGTTCTCATCGACCCTAGCAGCCCTAAGAAGAAGACGGTGTGCATTGGCACCGCTCTCTCCCCGATGGAAGAGGGTGCGCTCATTAATTTCTGCAGCGTGAATAAGGATATATTCGTGTGGAAGCCGTCAGACATGCCAGGAATACCAAGGGAGGTCGCAGAACACGCCCTGTGGATCCAGCCAGGCTCCAAGTCAGTCAAACAATGCCTGCACCGCTTCGACGAGGAGAAGCGTAGGGCAATAGGTGAAGAAATCACAAAACTTCTAGCAGCGAGATTTATCAAAGAGGTGTACCACCCCGAGTGGCTTGCTAATCCTGTCCTTGTCAGGAAAAAGAATGGGAAGTGGATGAAAGGTCCTAATAGCTAGAGGGGGGTGAACATCCTATTAAAAATTTCTACAACAACA